ACTCTGATGGCCACACTCGGCCTCCAGAAAACCTTCGTACTGTGTTTGATAAGACGGGACAACCCCACACATTTTGAGCCAAGGCTGTTCAGAACATGTGCTTGTTGTGAAATTTCACTTTGTAAACATCAGTGCCTTTGGATTACCATGAAAAATACACCAACTATTGCATGAAAAAACTCACACAGGTACTGAATGCAAACTCAGTTGTAGCTGTGAGCTTAATGCAGCCCAAGAGCCTTGAGAACAGCTCCAGAGATCTGGGAGCAGCTTATCCCATAAACACCGATGACAAGCACTACCTTGACTCAAACCATGGACCGCCCAGCCTCGTATTTAAAAAAATAAAATATTAGGGGGGTTGTTTTTCTGGGTGACCTTGAACAACGTGGGTTTTGGCAGGGGTGGGAGAACACCATGGGACAAGRAGCGAGCCAGCTTCCACTTCTGCTTCGTTTCACTGCGAGACAATGTTTGGTTAGTTTGGATGAGAAACATCGGCTCTGTTTCCCATTAGAGCTCAAGGCTTTTCAGCGCATTGCGAGTGCCATCTGCAGGTGGAAATGCTCACTGGTTCACCAGCCGAAACGTGGATAAACCTGGACGATCAGAAATATTAACAGCACCTCTGAGGGGAAAGCTTGTAAAGGCAGAAAGGTACAGAAATGCTCGTTCCAGACCATCCACGAAACCACTCAGACCTGTGACAGCAGAATGCAAGGGATTGTCAGAGCAGCTTCCCAGTGTCTTTCCTAATTCTGCAGCAGCACAAAGGCAGCAATGCTSTGTGTGAGCAGAGGAGGATGCTGAGAAGGCCACTTAACCTCTCCTGCTGGGAATGCCACAAGAGAGGAAAATTATCTGTGACCCTCTCTTCATACACAGAGAACAGGAGAACAGCTTCCAGCACCTGCAGCTCAGCCAGACAGTGCTGAAGTGTGGGGAGACTTTTCCAACTGGAAGTCCTCAAGATACAAGCCCTGAGTAAGGAAAATAGAGAGCCTAAATTAAATAATCTTTTGATTTACAACTGCAACCGGCTGGACTGCAGTTATCTGATTTGCAAAAAATAATTCCAGGCAAGCAAAGAGGCCATTATTGTACACCACTGTACAGTGGCAGCCTGTGAACARGACCAGCACTGGCTGAGAAACAGTTGCAGGTACATACAAGATAACAACCTCMCTCCCAGGAGCTCAGGCTTTTTAATCCAAATTCAAACATTTGCCATCTGTGCGTTCTGTGTAGTATAAATACAGCCAGAAAAATTGCCAGAGCTTTGTCTAAACAGCAGCTATGAGAGAAAGAGACCCCAAATTACATTTCCTTTTGCCCACAATACAGCGCTGTAAAATCACTGACATTTTCYGAGAACAGCTGTATGCAGGAATGTGATCTATTTGGGCCATGCCTGATTGAATCATTACATCCAGATTTATCAATCTGCAGTTTCTAATCAGACAGAGAGGGAGCACATTCCACCCCTCAATCTAGTGCCTTGGCAGGTCAGTCAATCAGAGCATTTCTCAGCACAGCAATCCCAGACACAAGATTCTGGTTTACATGCAGTAAGGCAAAACCAGGAATGTTTTGCCCCCTGTTAAAAATGTCAAGAAGACTCCTGAAAATTGCCTCTAGTCTGACCTTTGCAAATGCCCTCCTGAAACAGCAAGAGATAAGAACAAATAAATATATCAGAGCCAAAGAAAGTAGATTTTTGAGAATAAATTTGYACTGTATGGCAGGCTAAGAATTTTTATCAGAGAACTGCCAATAGCAAATGCTATTGCTCATATTGTCAGTCCCACCAGGTGTGTCAGGAGAACACTTTTTACACTATTTTGTTTAAGAAAAATGAACATAACCCTTTTTATTGCCATTAAAGCTAGTAATTAACACTCTGATGAGGGGAATGGGCAAACTCAGCAGTTTTTTTAGGATGGTGGCATGTCTGCTTTATTGCATGGTTATATTGGGTAATAAGTCCTGTGAAAAATAATAAATATTTATTTAAACTCATAATTAATTTCCAACATACTCTAAAGAGTTAACATCAAGAAGGGAGTTAGGAAGAATAAAAATTGGTCACAATCAGAGTGGAGAGGAGCTTTATTCCCTGACTGCAAAATCAACCCCACTAGAAGCTTATGCAAGAGAATTCCAGGTGTGATAAATTTATGGCCTCTCCTCTTACCCTCACTATTACTCTTTCCAAAGCAAAGAGTATTACGTTCTCAAGTCCTTGACCTCAGATAAAGCCTAAGATTCCTTTCACTTCCCTCACCGTGTGTCCCCATGTCCATTTGCCAGCACCACATTCCAGTGTCACACTGCAGACAGGCCCCATAAATTAGCAATTATATTCTCATGTGAATGCACCAGAGGAAACTATTCCTGTCAAAGTTGTTGGGGAGGAACCAGGTTCAACTTGTGTCAATTATCTGCAATTAAGGAGGCACCATAAACCTCACGTTCCCAAGAGTCCAGACAGAGCAATGAGAAGCTCATTGATTCCACCCATCAGCTGTAAATGAATCAGATTCACAGGAACCCAAGAGGTTCTACAACCACATAAACTACACTTTGCTCTGCCTCTCCCTTTGCAACACCCACCTTCATCTGAACATATGTGGTCACCCAGTGAACAATATTCATTTGCTCTGAATTTAGCCTGGCAAAGTGAAAGAAAACGTGTCTGAAGTTATTCGCAGACAAACCGGCTGAAATGGTACAGAAGGAAGCCTAACAGGGAGGTTAGAAAAGCCTTCAGGAAAATAATTATGTTCTGCCCTACCCTAGCACCTACACATGCAAACTCCACATTGCAAGGTTCCTCCACCCTGATGAAGGGATGGATCTCCAAATGACATCAGCCAGGGGAGCAAGCCTTAAATGAGCTGTTGTTTCCATGTGCAGTTACGTGGCTTGCTCTCATCTCTACTGTCAGGACCATGTTGTTTCTGTCTCACCTGCTCATAATTTGTTTTGTGCATCTCTAGTTTAATAATATTCAGAGAAGAGGGCGAAAAAAATGCTATGATCCAGAAAATGTGAGATGTAACTCGCATTTCAGATCATGTATCAGAGGAGGGGGATTTAGAAAATATTAGTGGCATAAAGGATGTGAAATCACCTCATTTCAGCTCCTATATATTACATGATCTTAATTTTCATTTGCTAGGCCAGTACAACATCCAGTAACAAGCTGACTCAAGCACTCACTCTGGAAAGGCCCTAATATTGATTTTAGGATGAMAAAACTCACACTAACTTGTGCTTTTGGATGAGGCCTTGTAGAACCATTGTTTGCAACCTCCAGCCTAAAATCTATTTTAATAAATATGCAGAAATTTACGTTTTTAGAAATTCAAGCCTATTACCAGAAAGCTTAAATCCACAGGTGATTTCCTGTGATTTCCTGTTTAAATTCCCATGAAATTTTAGAAATCCACCAATGCAGAACTGCTGCTTTCAGGCTGTGTGATTTGTCAATGATATGTAAGGATTTCCCATCACAGCTGAAAGGTAATACTGAGTTTCATTAGCAAGCCAAGGAATGGGATACTCCATCAAAAACTGAACAGCTAACAAAAAGAATGTTGCTAATCTGAATTTTCAACAACATAAATAGGAAAGGATTTTCAAGGGATTGATGATTAAGAACATATTAGCAGAATTAAATAAGTTGAATATGGTTGAGGCACATAGGAAAAGACATGCCAACATTCTACAGATATTTCAGKGCTGTTAATTCATCCCATTTTCTGGGATTTATCTCCTTAAGAGAGATAAATGAGGCTACAGGGATATAAACAAGGGAATAATAATGAAAAAAAAGAGATTGAGAGAAATATAAATTCACTGTGAGGGAGAGAAGAAAAAATATCTCATCAGTAGCTGCCATCAGGCAGTGAAATACTTTCCCTGAGGAAACAGTGAAAAAGGTATGTCCCTGTTACTGGAAATATCTTACACTGAACTAGGCCAGCACATGGGAAAGGTTCTGCTGAAAACCAAAATCTTGTAAATTTTTATCTTATGCCACAGCAAAATATCTGAGCAATAACCTGCCCTGTGTGCATCAGGAAGGCAAACCATTTRATATATTCTGCTTTACATAGGTCAATCAGGATTTTATCTGAAATACTCAAAGGATAAGTACCTTCACAGATTATCAGTTACAGACAGAGGATGTTTCAAATGTGCCCCAAAATGGTGTAACATGATTTGACAGCCAGAGCTGAGACTGGGTGATCTCTGATCATGGACATTTAGGGGGGAAAAAAAAAGTGATTCAACCCATGGAAGAATTTATCAAAGGCCCTCCTTCTTTTAAATTCTATAGATAAGGGCAGGATGTATGTTTAAAGATCTACTATGACTCCACTTTGAGGAACAGTTGTAAGATTTTGCCTTCATACAAAATTCCTGGAAAAGTCGTGCTTACACTGTCTTATGAGGAGAATTAATAATAGTAACAATAACAAGGTCTACCTGTAATGATTGCCTCTCATTCCAGAACAAAATATCCCTTCCACATAATGCACTGTACTCTCAGAAAGGGTGGAAGATTACTTGTCCTTACTGCAAACACATTTTGGTGCTTCCCTGCTTCTTGATTGCTGCTTCCCACCTCACGGTCACAGCCCTCAGTCTCCACCGTAGGAGTTACCATTGATTTTTATATCACTCTCACTCATACCCATTCTCCTCTACGTCCCAACAGTTTGTGCTGCTTTCCCATAAGCTTCTTGTTATTTCTCATGGGTTTTGAGACCTTTCATCAAGCCAGTGAGGTGATTTTCTGATTGCAAGYCCTGCCTCTACCCCGCTCTGCAGAGTGCATGCTAACTTCCAAACCTCGGAGACAGGATCCATTTGGGCAGGTCCAAATGCTTGAAGAGAGTGGTGCGACCCAGAACAGTGGGTTTTTTTTAAATATGCAAAAGGAGTATCAAAAATCAAGTCAGACAGCAGAAAGCTCTGATTCAGACTCTTACCTGTGCTACCTCTTCAAAGTCATCATGTCTTTTCTGCAGCGCGCGTGCCCTGTGGAGAGATTTCCCCACTCCGGTGTGTTTGCTCAGAAAGGCTTCCCCGTGATTTTCAATCCAGTCCAGCACCTGCCAGAAAARAAGAACATCCAGTTACCTCTCCTGTCTGAAACCCTGTGAAACAGAGAAACCCTGTGARGGTGAGGATGGACCAGTGCAGAGGAATGCTTTGTGCTTGATACGGCTGAACACAAGCAGCTCTGCCAAAGTCCGTTCTAACTGGAGGGAAGATGAATGCTCATGGATGCTACTGCTAAATAAGGTTTATTGAATTTTTGCTATTCAATTTATTTTGAAATGTATCTTGCTTATTGGASCCTGGCAGATATTAAATATTTACTTTCACAAAAATGACTTTTGGGGAAAGAGAATCAGGAATCTGGAATCTTTTACAGRAAGTACCTTCCTCTGATGAGTTTTTGTAAACTGCAAAACAGCAACAACTGATTTCACAACTAAATATAAGAGGGAGTCCAAAAGCATGGTTGAAKGATCAATTAAAATCTCTTTTACGTGGGGAGAAAGCATTATCAGTTACTAGAATTAAACAGTTAAGAAACCTTCACTGCAGACTGTAAAATACTGACAATGTGCATTCTCCAATTTTTCCATGTTCTTCTTTTGAGTTTGAAATGGAACTGATCCTTATGGAAAAATTGGATGACAAATCTGATAATCCTGAGAGTTAGAGAGTATTCTCCTTTAAAAATATGGTATCTGTGTATGCACCATTCATGTGGAATTTCTTCTCACGGTAACACTGTCACTTAAATTTAGACCAAATCTGTTAGGGGTCTACTACAAGATGGTAAAACCCCTAAAATCTGACAATAAAAGGTTGGGAAATTTCAGGATGAGATKGATACTCTTTCTCCATTTCTTTCTGTAGATCTCTGATCCACAGAAGCTAAGGGAATACACAGTACTCAACCAGCACTGGTATTTCTGTAACAGGTGGGATTTCCTTCAGCAAGGAGCTCTGCACTCACAGCGAGTTTTGGATCCTCACTGCAGCTGATGCTGATTGATGGACTGAGGAACAAGAGCTGCATTTTGGGTCCAGGCCACCCACAGCCATGTGGGCACATTCCCATGCAGGGAGCATTGTCCTGTCCAGGCTGCTGTCCATTAGAGTACTGCACTACTGAAAACATGGCTGAGCTCAAATTTCAGGATATCTCCAAGCATGGGTGCAGGCAACCCTGGAACCACCTAGGAAGCATCACAACTCACAAACAGCTTCTGGAAGGATTGGGAGATAACAGTCTTGGTATTTTACCTTCACCAGTGGCAAATTTCCATCTCACAGCTTACCAACCCAATCACTATTGTCAAGTTCATTGGGGTAGCTGTTTCTGCTGTTCCTCTGCTAAAATATGTTAACATTTTGTGATTTTTTGTTTTGTTGCTTTTTGGGGGTTTTTCTGTTTTTTTTTTAATTTTGTTGTTGTTGTTGCTTTGGTTTTGGGGGTTTTTTTTGTTTGTTTTTATTTCACTAGTTGAAAGTGAAAAGTGGCAGAAGAATTATTTTCTATCATAATGTGCATGTTCCGTCTCCTTATCTCCTCAGGGGTACAATTACACACCCAACAAAATAAGCAGCAAACCCAGGTCACTGAGAAAATGAAATAAAACTCAGTACAGCTACAGCAGGCTGTGCTGCCCATTACAGTCATTATGTGGCTGGGTAACCACAAGATTCAAAATGCTGTCTGGAGGAAGAATAGCCCTAACTGTCCCTGCAGAATGACCTGGGTAACTGTTAAAATAATAACAGTGGAAATTCAGATAGGTTTCATCTGAGCACAACACTGGGTGCTTGGAGAGCCCTCTCCACACTCCTTTCTGCTGCAGATCAAATTCCTGCCTACAGGAAGTCTAAAACCCGTGGCACAACTAAACTGGCAAAATAAATCCTGCCCAGGTAAGGTAGGAAAAAACATACTTGAGAGTCCACTTGCAGGGAATGCTGATAGTTTGTATGGGATACTGTGGAAAACATGGGAAGAAAGAGGTGGAAGAATGGTTTTAGAGGGAAAAGGTTGAAGAAGCAATCAGGCAATAATTTAGCAAAGTTCTGGGATGATAATTGCTCTTCCTCTAGGGTAATTTGTATGATAGGAATGTGGCAAGATGATTGGATTAGTGCAGTTAAGGTCAGGTCTTTAAAAAACTTTTTAAAAGTTAATTTGATTTTTAAATAATAAAAAAAAAAGCGAAGGGACTCTATTTGAAAAGGGCAGACAGACATTTCAATGTAGCACTTTGAAAATTAATTATCTTTCTGTAGGTATCTTTCCTAATCAGGAAATGTGAAAACTAAGAAACATCTCATTGCTTTATCAAATTTAAATCAAAATCTCCTTGGGAACCAATTTTTTTTCCTAGCAATTCCTCATGATCTGCACCCATTTTACATGAATACAAAATTTCAAAGGAGTAGTAATTCCATTACTTYAAGGAATTATATCTGCTGTTGAATTTAGTTGAAAAACTTCTGTATTTTCCCTTCTTTTAAACTATGTTTCCTTTAGCAGAAAYGAATGAAGATGAAATGAGGATGATTTGGGTAAGAATTAAAGTCAGAAAGGAACTTTAAAATTATTGACTCCAKCTGCTAACCCAGCACTACCAAGCCCACCACTAAGCCAGGTCCCAAAGACATCTACACGTCTTTAAACATGCCCAGGGATGGTGACTCCTCCACTTTSCCAGGCAGCCTGAACACTGAGGCTTGCTCAAACACAGCAGCCCTGAGCTCTGCCCTCATGTAACAGGAAGAGATGAGAAGTGTGAGCTGTGATTAAGATGCAGCGTGTTGTACTAGCGGTGACAGAGCACCCCGATTTCTGCATTTGACCTAGGCCATGTGGAACAGTTTCACTGCTCCTGAGTGAGGCGACCCATGGAAGCCTTGGCCAAGGGAATCATTAATCTTTGTTACCCTGAGACCCACAGTTGTTGCCATAGTGACTCTTAAAACTAGGTTGCTCTGAAAACTGAAAGTAAATGATACCATTTTACACTTCAAGCAGTTAAGAGATCTTGATCTCAAAACAGTACAAAGCTGGTATAACTCAAAGGGGCTGGTTTAACTCTTCAGTAACAGAGTCGTAATAAATTCCAGAGCAATTCCATCTAACTTAYTCAGCTTTAAATGAGGCCCCATTTCAAATAGGTGCATAAGCATTGCCTAACTTTAAACACATGGACAGAGCCTCTAAAATCTCATGGTGAAATGAAAGTAGCATCAAGCTACCACGATGAATGTGTTCTTGCTTGCTCTTGAGATACTGTGGGCTAACTAAATTCTGKGTGAAACCAGGAATTTTTATGGCACTTCAAACTCTCAAGAACCAAACCTTATCTTTGTCTTTCTTGTAGCTGCTATTATGAATGCTCAGTAACTCCAAGGCCTTTGTCTCTGAAACTCTTATTCCAGAAGCTCTGCCTCTGCCAAGTCTGCTTTTTGTAACCAAGAAATGCAGTTAAAAGGTTCGTGTTTCAGATTGTACTTTACATCCAAAACTTGTTGTAAATGTTTTGTTACATTGCACAGCAACAAAATCCAATCTTTTCTGTCAAAGCCCTTCAAAATTGTACAAGCCTACTTAGGAACACTTACTGGATGTACTAGATTTTGTAAATACAAGAATCTTTTGGCAAAAGGTACTTCATTTTCTTCTAGTAGACCCAGAAGCCAACAGTATGCATCCATTTATGAGCAACACAGTCCAAAGATGTGCACTCAGGTTATCCACAATCCATTCCCTTATKGGGAGGTAAAAGGGCCTTCAAGAGACACTTTGCACATTTGCCAGGGGTACCACTGACTATGAGTAAAGGCTGCAGCCAGTGTGGGATTGTCAACTTCTGTAATTCCATCCAGTGGATAATGATGTTCTGTGCAGGATGGCATAGCCAGCCCAACCTCTGGCCCTCCAGGAGAACTTGGTGACAGCAACAGCACCAGGGAAGACAGGATAAACACTGAGAATCAGAAGAAAAACAAAACAAAAAATCCCCCCAAATCCAAAACAACTCAAGGAGACTTAAGAAATACTAATCCTCTGTAATGAATAAAATGCACACAAAATCTGATTTAAATCAGTTTCTTTTTGTATTCCAAATCATTGCTGAAAATAGATTCCTTTTCCCTATTATCCCTGGCCCTGTCACAGCAGGCTAATGTCAAGYAAAGGTCTAGCTGAGAAAATACACCAAAATACAAAGGAACTTATCCTCTGGCTTTTCCTGCTATTATTAATGGTTTATAATAGAAYCCAAAACAAAACCCAGTCATTCTCATCTGTGGTTTTTACTCCCAATAAAAACTAAGCTCCCTTTTTCACTTCTCTCTTCATTACAAATTTATGTTGGTGGCACAATAAAATATTTTTACTAAATATTTTAAAGATGGGGATCACACCTCGTGTTTAAATCAGAAACATCAACTTTGGCTCCYATGAAATTATTTTTTATTTCCAGAGGCATCTACATCTGACTCTAAAACTCAGATCTTGTTCCCACCAAAAGCCACAGCAAAGTTTCAACCACCCTAAGCAAATGTGGATCAAAGATCCCATGTTTGTCATGTTAAGAGGCAGGAACTAGTTGTGCATCCAGCAGGATCTGAGTCTCTGGACACACATCTCAACACCGTTTTTCTTTCCCATGTAGCAAGGTGTGAACATGTGCARTTCACAGGACAGCACGTCCCAAACTGCACAGGTTGATGCAATAAGTGCAGTTCCCATGAACAGCCACAGCTGATGCAGCTCAGCAGCATTGGGAGAGAACAGGGCCTTACTCTGTTCATTGCCTTTGGTCAAATACCTCAAACCATGCAAGAGTTTTAAGAAATAAGCAAAAAGCAACACGGATTTCATATCAAAAGTAGACTGGAATTGGAGTGATTTGGTTCAACGCCCAGCACTGCAGTTCAGCAAATGAMTCAAGTCCCTGCCTCCATTTGCTTTTCTAAAATGACATTAATCACATTTACAGTCAAAAAAGCAAGGCTGACAGAGAAAGTGGAAAGAAAGCTGCCTTCCAGTTGGCGTTTTTGC